GAAAATAAAACATAGCTGTAGAACTACAGAGGTGTAATCAGATGCATGCACATACAACTTTTCAATGACATTGACATATGGTTATTATTGGAAAATCCATCCCTTGGCTGAGCCCGGGCAAGTCTACCTCACAATATATAATTGCAGCCTTGGCCTTAGTAGAGCTGCTGAGATTAACCAGGATTGCGTTCTCTAAACTTTGGCAATATCCAGGCACTAAAAAGGAACCAAACATTCTATATCACCACACTGCTCGGGCGGAAGCTCGGTTCTATGTTAAGGCCAAGACTCGTGGGGTATGGCAATGCCACCTTGCCGCTCACCATGAGACAGTAAACTTCCAAGATCAGTAGGTCTTCGTACGGTATACACCCCCCCAACCCCACCCCCCCCCCCCCCCCCCCCCCCCCCCAAAAAAAAAAAAAACAAAAAAAAAAAAAATTGGCAATGACCAAGAATTTCATCTTGCAAAAATTAATGAACTAGTGACTCCACTTTAGCTGAGAGAATAGAAGCTAGAATTGACCATTGGGCTCTAATCTAACAATGGCCAACAATGTTGAATGAGAAAATGAAATGTGACGTTTGCTAGTTCTCTTGTCAAGAGAAGGACTGTAGTTTCTTGGCTTCCAGAGGTATTCTAGTAGTTGCTAGGCTAATCCACCTCCTGCTTTCACTTGAGGGAAGCTAATCAAAATCCTGTTTCATCCCAAGTGGACTAGGCTAGTTGGAGGCCAAGCAAGTGTGTGTGAGAGAGAGAGAGAGAGAGATGGCTCTCAGTGGTGAGAAGGTTGTGTTGGGCAGTTAATCTGAACAGAATGCAAAAGGCATATCTATAGGCAGCAGGGAAGTGGTCAAACACTTCCAATTGGTTGACACAGAGGACGGACTGTAATGAAGCATTCAGGCTCCTTGCAGATTGATGGGATGGCTTCTTGTGGGTCTAACACAGTCTACACAAGGTATAACTAGAGTTAAGATGGCTAATTAATGTTGTATAATGGCTTTAGTAAAGCCAGATGGTTCATTAATGAGGCTTGATGATCATTTTCTACAAGAAGACAAACCAAAAGAGAGACTTGGCTGTGTGTTACTCAAAGGGGTCATCAGTCTCTCTTTCTCTCTCCTTGAGCGAGGTCAAGGGAAAAAGGATGGTAATTCATCTTAGAGATCTCAGTAGTCCATCGTGTTGTCCAGGTAACTCGGGCAAATAATATTAATCTTTAATCCTGGAAATTGAGCGTTTGTTACCTCGTTAGTTTGTGAGAAGATCAGAATAATTGGATATCAAGTGTTACTTCCCTTCATACTTCTTTTTACCCCAACCAATCATCAAGGATGTGATGTTCACACTGTTTGCCAAATCAGCAATCCATGCCAGGTCACCAAACCACGTATGAGTGGTCTGTGCGACCGAAAATCATTCGCGTACAATATATATGTTTCCACTTCTATCCCAGGCTCTATCAGCGGACACAGCCATATGGGGCTCAACCAGATTATACGACCACTACAAAAGGCTGCTCTATCTCAATAAACCTACCCAACCAATAATGGAAATCTGTCATTGGATTAGATACGGAGGCCGAAGCCCTCAAAGATTGTGTCCCTTTCTTTGGTTGGTTGGACATAATTTTTGGTCCAACAGATTAAAAAGGATGACAGCTACTGTCAATAATGCCACATCAGTGCCTAATAATAGCAGACAACCCACTGCAAATGTGCTACTGTACTGTTAATCCTCTAACGTAGAGGTCTCTCTATAAGATTTTAAACCCTCCGTGCAGCCAAACAACTACATCTTGTAAGTGGATCACCTTTAACATTTTCACCCAAACAGCCAAGGTTGCCTTCAGCTTACCTTGAGAGACAATGGGAATAATTGAAACTTCACTGTCCTGGACAACAAACAACTATCTCAAGCCTTGGCTATCCCACGAATTCCACAATCCAAGCCACAAAGTAAATTTGTCAAATAAAGTTCTGTGACTGCTGGGTTCTGAAAAGAAAAAATTGATGTCAACGGACAGGTAGATGACGCTGTGTCTGGGGATGATAGAAGACTTTAGGTATGGGGATATATGGAAACACTAGGCATCCAAAATTACTGCTGAATTGGGAAGTAAACAAACTGGTTCAGAATTGGCATGGGGAAGAGAACTTTAAAGTTTTATCATGGATTCCTAGATTCCATTGAACATGATCATGGAAAGAGAAAAAGTCAATGGGATTACAAAGGGCTTACTTCTCACTGCTAAAGCCTCATAAACAGAGGCTGAATTTGTTAGATGGGGTACAGTCTTACAAGAAGGAATTGTGTATGAAACTTTCTTTCCAAGGACAGAGAAACCCAAGGAAAGAGACTACTTGAGTTGAAATTTGAAACCAACCACATAGGAAATACCAGACCTTTTCCTTTGCCTATAGGGCTGCTTTTCATTTGAGGGAGACCTTTAGAAGCATTGTGGTTCTGTCCTTCTATTTCCTGAAACACCTAAAAAAATAAAACTGATAGGAAAAAAATGTAGTAGTCCATAATTAAGATTTATCACATGAAAACTCAAGCCTAGGTCCTTTCTTGATTCTTTTAGGACTCAATAGGAAAACCTAAAGCGGAATTTAGACACCAACAACAGAAAAATAAGTACCAATATAATGAAGCAGCCACCACTGTAAGGTATCACAAACGCTTAGAACTAAGGGTTTTGCTCTTATCACAGCTCGAGCTACTGAGTATTATCTGACATAATCTCTTTGTTGGATCTCAGAAGCAATTTTTCCTTTTAAACATAGCTGTGTTACTTGGCAAGGGAAAAAAAGCCATAATTGGTCACTATATTACATTTATATTCATTCGATACATCATAACTCATTTCATTCAAAGTTGTACAGGGAAATCTTTTTGTTGGATACAAAAGCATTTTTTCTTTTCTTTTTTTTTTTTTTTTTTTTTTTTTTTTAATATAGCCGTGTTACTTGGCAAGAAAAGAAAAAAAGAAAAGGCCATAATTGGTCACTATATTACAGTTATATTCATTCGATTCATTGTCACTCATTTCATTTAAAGTTGTACAGTGTGTAAACCTGGTTTCATGCAATAACTCTACATAAAAAGTGCCATACCATCACTAGCAGAATTAAAGAGCTCCCAAAAAGAAATATGCCATCAAATACTATAGCACTTCAAGGGAAGAATGTAGATGTACAAACCTATAGATAATCTGGGTAGCTCTAGGACAGTTATAGAGTGGGAGGGTCATCATATAAATGACAACTCAAACCTCAACGCTTACTCAGATTGAGAAGCTTAATATAGCATCCAACAGATTCTTTCTTGAACTCCCAAAAGAAAACAAGCATGTATATGGATTGAAGATCGACTTCATAACAACTCCATAAACTACTCCGAAATAATAGTATCACATTAAGATTTAAAGAAGCTAATGTGATGATAATATATGTTCTTTTTCTTATATTCATTTCCAACTCCATGCAAAAATGCTTTTAGTGAAACAACTTATATTTATCTCCTTCAAATACAAATCTAAGAAATAGCGTCCATCATGCTACATTTCCACTTTCTTTACCTCGATCCTACCTTCTTGGAGTGGGATCCAACCTTTTTGCCCAATTGACATGCTCTTTTCATCTTCCACTTGTCCTAGTAAAGCTTTTGTTTTGAATCAACCCTACTAGGTTCATCCCGTCACTGAAGTCAATTGCACATAAAAATATCATATTAAAAGAAATTGGTGTAATCCGTCATTGATAGGTGCTAATTCCAGCTACTCTCACATAGATATGTTGTTCTCTGTATCTTCTCTTGTATTGTTGCCAATCCATTACAACATCTCCGTTGCAACTTGGAATTTATTGACAAATACATCAAATTATAATCAACCCTCCTCTTAATTCATTCAAATCATTGGTTGCTTAGACCTATATCATCTTATTATGACTTCCCCGTAAATTTGTTCTTTGAAAGTGCTAACTCTAGCTCCTCTCATCAACTTCAACCAACAATTCCTCTTGATTTGAACAAGAAAAAATATATGTTGATTGATGTACATAGAGCTTCCTTCCATATTTGCTTCAGCTACATATGCCAAGTGGTTTTGACATAACATCATTCGACTACCGAGTCAACAAATCTTCATACTATTTTTAAACAATCTTTTTATGCAACCCTTGCATTGTAGAAATGGGAGGATGTAATCATACCCATCAATCTATCAACTTAAACATTAAAAATGACCATACCGGTTCATAACCTTGCACAAAAATGTTTGTGATGGTGCCACACATTAAGAAACAACAACAACAGATCAACTCTCTTTACATCCGAATCTTATTCCTTTGTATTAAGTATCACCCAAGAGACTTCAATAAACCATGACTCAGAAAAGGTAAAACAAGTACAGTTACAAGTGTCAGGATATACTTGGTTCAGAGCTTCAACCAAGAAATTAAAAATAAAAAATTTGAACTTTTTTTTTTTCCTTTTCCTTTGATAAGCTTACATGATGACAAACTAATGCATTTAAAGGTGATGTGAAGCATAGAAGATCAGTTCAATTCCATTTAACATCCCAAACAAAATTGTCAAGTTTTTCCTCGATTAAAGATTTTATCGAGATGCAATTAAAAAAAATGACAAATTAATTGTTTGGCTATTACACAAACTGTTCATGTGTGTTTAACTTGTACAACTGAACTGAATAAAATTTTATTCAAAAAAAGGTATGAAATTGAACATTTTTAAAGATTTACCTGACAAAGGTTTACATCTGAAGCCCAGGAAACCTTTTTTGATTGCGGCAATCCTCGCATATTTACAAATACAGATTCGACTATCAAAAGACACGTTATTCTAATCGATGAATCCAAATTCGATACCCTAGTTCATAGCATTACTTAAAAGATCTAATTTGGTCCAATTTTAACACGATCAGAACGGACGGAGACACAAAGGATAACCAACGACATAAATATATGTGTATATGTGTATCGATGGATATGGAGATGAGAGATCCAAGGAAACCCTAGATCCTCTGGTTTTCGCTTTCGCCGCTTTATTCCCGAAATCTTCTCCTGTTATGATTTTTTTTGTGCGTTCAGTAGGACATGTACGTATATTTGGGCTTAGCACGTGTAAGGCTCAGCTTACGTGCCACCAACACGCGTGTGGAGTGAGTTTTCAACTTTTGTCTTACGAGTTTGAGATTCGATCGCAGCCTCGCAGGTTAAAAGGCTGAGGATTACGCATTTGTGTACTTTGTTGTGGGGGCTTCAAAGCCATTGGTTTGTAACAAGCCCACGGATTTGTAAGACCAAACAATCCAACTAGATCCAACTATCTAACTTTTCAGACTTCACAATTGTAGAAAGGGAGATTGTTACGACATAAGCAAGTTTGGATTTTATTTTTATTTTTTTAAATTGAATCAGCATGTCGTATTTATATTTACTTGTTAATTCTTTTACAGCCCGTTTAATTAAAAATTAAATAAAAAGTATGATAAATTGTTCAACTTTATCCGACTAATTTATGTTAATTCGTTCACAGTTTATTTAGATCCGTTTAATTAAATATTTTTATATATTAAATTTTATTTAAATCCATTTAATTAAATATTTTTATATATTAAATAAAAATAATAATAAATAGTCTGACTTTCGAAAGTATTGACTGATTTATGTTAATTCGTTTACAACTTATTTAGACTTGTTTAATTAAATATTTTTTATATATTAAATAAAAATAATAATAAATAGTTCAAATGTATTCGACTGATTTATGTGAGTGATGAATGAATAATGATCTCATTATAACGTAATTTTCTAATAACATAAATTTAGTCAATATGTCCGACTGTCGGACTCCTTATCATTACTCATTAAATAAACGACACAACTTCTTGTAATTTTTTTTTTGTTCTTTCCTTTAAGCAATTTGTACAAATAAAGTAGAGTAAATTGCATTGACACTCCCCTGAGATTTCAGTCAAAGTCACTCAGATGCAAGTCAACGGCATTTTCAACACTGACACCCCCTGGGATTTCAAATGTCATATTTGTTCCTAATTATTTAATTCAATTAATTTACAAAATATCAGCCTTGTTAATTGACGAAACTACTCCTATCATTAAGCCTCTGTCTCTACCCTAATCTTTAACTCACAAATTTTTTTTTTTTTTTTTTGTTCATTTTAGTATCTAGCTGCCGACACTCCCTCTCTCTCTTCCCGATCTCGGACATGACTACTTTCTTTTTTTTTTTCTTTTTTTTTTTTCCCTGTTGTGGTGGATCTAGGCTAGCCATGATTGTTTTTATTTTTTTTCCTACTTTGGTGGTGGTTGTTATGGTGATTATCAGGATGTTTCAAATTTTATTTTATTTTTTATTTTTCTATTATGGTGGTGGTGGTGGTTCTGGTAGCGTATGAGTGTGTTAGTGGTGGTGTTTTGGTGTGGTGGTGGTTCTAGTGATGTTCGGGACGTATAAGTATGGGTTAGTCATGGTTGTTTTCAATTTTTTTTTCTACTGTGCTGTTTGGGTGTGGTAATAGTGGTTATGATGGTGTACAGTTATCTGGCTTTTTTCAAAAAAAATAATATTTTTATCTTTATTCATTATTTTTTATTTTTATGTTGTGGTGGTGGTTATGGTGGTATAAGTATTATTATATATAAACTATATTTATATATATAAAAGAGATGAAGAAGTTAGATTAGTCCATTAAATTTAGTTAGGAGGTTAAATTTGTAATTTTATTATGATAGCCTTGGTTTTTCAAGCTAGTGCGTCTTGTGATGAACCAAAATTTGACCCGATAACGAATCCCAAATGCGAAAGTGAAAAAAATAGAAACCAAGTCTCTAGAGATGCAATACATCTCTAAGACGCCAAAGTGACCTTTCATAAGACTACAAAACTCAACGAGAACGAACGCGGAAGAAAAAGATCAAAAGTAGACCAAGTGTCACATCCCGAATTTTTATCTGACCTAATTGAATTCTTTATTCATTATTATGAGTTTATTAATATTTATTTCAGTTTAAATATTTATATTTAATTGAGTTGAGAAAACAAAAATAAGAAAGTTTATTGTTTATAAACAATTAATTTCAAGTATGAGAATTGTTCACACATGCACGGTACATGGTACTTGGAAGTATTTGGATATGTTTATTATCTATTCATATGTATGGTATCAATTAAAGATTATTGAGGTAGTGGCAAATAAATATATCGATATATATATATTTATAGTAAATGAAAAGGGTATATATATTGACATACATATATGATGCGTGAGTGTGATGGTGTTAACAATATATGCTGATGCCTTTTATATGTACTTAATATTTTATGTTTTCCAAGCTTTTCTTTGGAAGCATTCAAGTTGGTGAGCTAGCTTTATACATTTCAAGTTTGGTGGATAACTATTGAAACTAATAGTTGGCAGCACCATGTATATATATCATATCATGGGACTTATATAGATATGTATTTATATAGGAGCTTTCTAGTAAGCTTTGGATGAATTATTTAAGGAATAAATTAAGAAAAAGGGCATGAGTAGGCTTGGACACATGTCACACACATAATAAAAGTTCCATATATACATTATTTTACCTCTTTTGTTTTGGGATTTTTCCGGACCAGTATGTTAAAAATTAAAGGTGTGTAGAAAAAGAAAAGAAACAGCGGGCCTAGAGAAGCCGGACCAGAAAAGGAAATAAGGAAAGTGAAAGAGAGTGAGAAAAGAAGAAAGATAGAATCAGAAAGTGGGTGTTTTGTAGAAAATGAAGGAAAATTCTCTACAATCTTTGTTGGATTCAACCTAAGGTAAGGAGATTATATTTGATGTTTAATGTTTCAACTTTCCATGGATAGTCTGATTTATGAATTTTTATATAACTCATGTAGATTGCCATTTATTTAATTTGATAAATTCAAGGTCTACATTATCTGAAAGAGAAAGAATTGTTAAGTAGTTTGACTTGTTGAGGTGATATATCTATATATATATATATATATAGATATAGATATGGTGAGTAATCTGAAAAAAAAAAAAAAAAAAAAAAAAAAAAAAAAAAACATCCAATAAATGGATAGAAATAGATTATTGAAGTCAGAGAGGGGAATGAAAGAGAGAGAAATAAAGAGAAGGAAGGAAAGTAGAAATAGTGGAAGGAAGAGGAAACAAATAAGGAAAGTTAGGGAAAAATCGTGTATGCAGTCCTGAAGATAGAAAATTTTGTAGTTTAAATTTTATATTGAAAATTTATATTATTTAAATTGTCAATACTTTACTTATTAAGGTGCTTTTGAACCAAATTTCTAACATTATTTTCTTTCTTAGTTAAATGGTTAAATTATATGAAGTGATACAATTCTGACATGATTTTAATTACTGCCCTGAAATTAATCTATTTGGTTATCATTAGAATTCCAATTACAATTATATACCAAGGCTGGGATTTATATTTGAATTGAGGATTAAATTGTTTAAATTTTCTTTAGAAATATATATGACATAATTATAAGTGTTGTATAGGTAAGGAAAAGGAGTTCATAACTTCGACATTACCAAAGGATAAGTAGATAAGTCAGAAAGTAGCCAAGGTGAGTGTACTCGCTGGAAGTTTATTCTTGGATATGCTTAATTCAAGTATTGCAGTGGTTTATGTGAATTGAAGATGAATATATATATAACTTGATTATATTAAATAAGGTCCATATTCTGGTCTGGAAGGAGAGTACTACATTAAAAAGGGTCCATACTCTGACCAAGAAGGAAATTACTATATTTAAATAAGGTCCATACTCTGGCCTAGAAGAAGAGTACTATATTATATAAGGTCCATACTCTGGCCTAGAAGGAGAGTACTATATTTTAATACCTGTAATATGTTAATGAAATTTAATTGAAGTTATCAGATAATATTTGCTTATATTACTCTGATGTAGTAGTATTACATTCACTGGGCTTTAAGCTCATTCCTTCCATATTTATATTTTTCAGGTATCAGGTTGGGTTGCAACTGCCAAGTCTAGAGTCTTGTGTGTAAATGGGGAAAAGAATTTTTGTATAAAATGTAAATATTGTAGTAGAACTTAATATTATGACTTGAAGTGACTTGTTTAGTTTTTAGAACTAGAGAGGTGGATTTATAATTTATCTTTAATTGTAAACTGTTAAGCAGGTACTCTGATGTAGGATGATGTCATGTATGAATGAGACTAATACAGATGGTTAGATGCATTCTAATTTGTTCAATTTATTAAATAGTGTAAATTGGGTTGGGGTGTGTCAACTTTTGGTATCAGAGCCTAGGTTTTCTAGGTTCTAGAGGTAGTAAGAGTCTAGACTGGCAGTAGTAGTAGGAAGTGTGTAGTAGAGTCATTTATTTGACTTGATTTTATACTAACAAATAGATGTAGTGATTATGTATCATATCTATATATGTTGTTATATTTGAGATTCTTTGCAGATAAAAAGTAATGGAGGAGGAAGTAGATATCATAAAATCGAGGAAGAAGCCTCTTATGTTCCTATTGAGGCTGAAGTAGAACAACCTATTCAGGGTGATATGGGAAGAAAACAGGAGCAGTTAACTGGTATGCAGAAAATGGAGAAAGCTATAACAGACTTGGCAGAACAAAACAAATAATTTATGGCAAGTCAAATGATGATACAAGAAATGCTAGAAAGACAACAAAAATGAAAGAAAGGCTCAGATTATAAGAGGTTTATCAAGTTAACACCTTTAGAATTTTCAGGTACTACCAAACCAGAAGAAGCAGAGGGGTGGGTAAGAAGAATGGAATCGATATTTGCAGTGATGGGTGCAGCAAAAGACCAGAAGGTAAACTTAGCTACATTTATGTTCAAAAATGAAGCTAGTTATTGGTGGGACACAATAAAACATTTGTTGCTCACTCCAGGAGAGAAAGAGGTGATATTATGGAATCCATTTGTTAAAGCTTTTTATGAGAAATATTTCCCTCCAATTTACAAAAAAGAGAAGGAACGAGAGTTTATACTCCTAAAACAAGATAGAATGTTTGTAATTGATTATGAAGTTAAGTTTACTGCTTTATCGAGGTTTGCACCCAAGTTTGTACAGAATGAAAAAGATAAATGTACAAAATTTCAGGATGGTTTAGAAGGGGCTATTAAGTCTAGAGTTTCAGTGTTTGAAGAAACAGATTACAATAGACTTGTGAACAAAGCCATGATTGCTGAAAAGGATGTGAAAGAATTACAAGAAAGAAGGGAACAATATAAAAGAAATAGATCTGAGCCATCACAATCAAGAGGAGGTGAAGGAATTTCAAGTTAGAAAAGTCAAAGGTTGCAATATGGAAGGGGAAGGGGTAGTGAATCTCAAGGGCAGACATCAGGTATGGGAAGAGGTCAAGGCTTTCCGAACAACAATCTGTACAACAAGGTAGCTTTAGAGGACGTGGTACTGGCAGGAGGTGTTTTCAATGTGGAAAGGAAGACCATCAGAAGAAAGATTGCCCTGTGTTGAAAGCAGAAGAATGCTATCATTGCCATCAGCCGGGTCATCGGAAGAGAGATTGTCCTATGTTGACAGGAGTGACCTCAGTGGGTAGTGTTGCTGGTTCTGGTAGGGGTTTTGCCCAGGGAAGCTCGTCAAGAGGAGGTAGGGGTGCTACAAGTGGTTCGCAAGCCTAAGGAAGAGTATTTGTTATGACACTTTAGGATGCTCAAGCAACACCAGAAGTGGTGACAGGTACACTTTCTATTTTGGATAGAAATGTTACTGTGTTTATTGATCCTGGTTCAACCCATTCATTTGTTGCATCATCTATTGCTATGCATTTGGGTGGACCACTTTCATCATTAGATAGTAAATTGCTTATTTCTACACCAATTGGGGAAGTGGTAGTGGTTGCAAATGAGTATAGAGATTGTGTATTACAATTGGGGGATAGACAGTTAAGGGTAAATTTATACCATTGGGTATACCAGACTTTGATATCATTTTGGGTATAAATTGGCTATCTGCGTATCATGCTTCAATAAACTGTTTTCGAAAAGAAGTGGTATTTCAGATACCAGGGGAGCCAGAATTCAGATTTACCGGAGAAAGAAATGTTCTTCCAAACTGTCTCATTTCAGCGATACAAACCAGAAAATTGTTAAAGAAAGGGTGTCAGGGTTACTTGGCTTATGTGGTTGATACTGAAAATAAAGATATGACACTTGAAAATGTACTAGTGGTAAGGGAATTCACAGATGTGTTTCCAGAAGAATTATCGGGGTTGCCAGTGGATAGGGAGGTAGATTTTACCATTGAGTTGGTACCGGGAACAGCTCCAATTTCTATTGCTCCGTATCGAATGGCACCGACAGAATTGAAAGAGTTGAAGATACAGTTGCAAGATTTACTGGATAAGGGCTTCATTCGACCTAGTATATCACCGTGGGGTGCACCAGTGTTATTTGTTAAGAAGAAGGATGGTACTATGCGGTTATGTATTGACTACAGATAGTTAAATAAAGTAACCATCAAAAACAAATATCCATTGCCATGAATTGATGATCTGTTTGATCAGTTGCAAGGTGCAAAGGTGTTTTCTAAGATTGACTTGAGGTCAGGATACCATCAATTGAAGGTAAAGGATAGCGATATTTCTAAAACTACTTTTCGAACTCGATATGGCCATTATGAGTTTTTGGTGATGCCTTTTGGGTTAACCAATGCTCCAGCAGTGTTTATGGATTTAATGAATCGAGTATTTCATCCGTATATTGACTCTTTTGTTATTGTCTTCATCGATGATATTTTGATATATTCTCGGAGTGTGGATGAACATGAAAAATATTTAAGAATTGTGTTACAGATTTTACGGGAAAAACAACTCTTTACTAAGTTCAGCAAATGTGAGTTTTGGCTTGATAAAGTTATATTTTTGAGGCATGTAGTATCTGGGGATGGTATTTATGTTGACCCATCAAAAGTGGAAGCAGTGGTAAAATGGGAAAGGCCTACTAATGTGACAGAAGTCAAAAGTTTTATGGGATTAGCAGGTTATTACAAGAGGTTCATCTAAGGGTTTTTTAGTATCGCATTGCCATTAACAAAGTTAACCCGGAAGGAAGTAAAGTTTGTGTGGAGTGAGGAATGCCAAAGAAGTTTTGAAGAATTGAAGAAAAAGTTAATGCCAGCTCCAGTGTTAACTATTCCGTGTGATGGCGAAGGTTTTGTGATTTACACTGATGCTTCACATCAGGGTCTGGGATGTGTTTTAATGCAAAATGGCAAAGTAATTGCATATGCTTCTAGACAATTGAAGAATCATGAATTGAATTATCTTACACATGACTTGGAGTTAGCTGCTATTGTTTTTGCTTTAAAATTGTGGAGGCATTATCTGTATAGTGAAATTTGTGAAATATTTACAGATCATCAAAGTTTGAAGTATTTGTTCACACAGAAGGACTTAAATTTGAGACAGAGGCGTTGGATGGAGTTAATCAAAGATTATGATTGTAATATCCACCATCATCCTGGAAAAGCTAATGTAGTAGCAGATGCCTTAAGTAGGAAGTCTTCAGGGAGGCAAATGTTATGGAATTGAGATTGATGGGAGTTGAATTGACAGTTACAAATGAAGGAGCATTCTTTGCATATATTATGGTGAGACCTTTGTTGCGGGATCGAATTAAAGAGTTACAAATTCATGATGTATTCCTGGATAAGAAAAGAAGAGAAGCTCAAGAAGGTCTGCAAACTGAATTTACAGTTAAGGACGATGGGACTTTGTATTTTAAAAGTCGAATTTGTGTTCCAAATGATGTTTCTTTGAAGAAAGATATTTTAGATGAAGCCCACAGTTCTATATATGTTATGCATCCGGGTAGTACTAAAATGTACAGGGACTTGAAGGAATACTATTGGTGGAACAATATAAAGCGTGAAATTGCAGAATTTGTAGCAAAGTGTTTGGTATGTCAACGAGTGAAAGCTGAACATCAGAAACCAGCGGGGTTGTTGCAGTCGTTGCCAATTCCTCAGTGGAAGTGGGAGCATGTGACAATGGATTTTGTGACAGGACTTCCAAGATCAAAACGGGGACATGACTCCATTTGGGTGATAGTTGATAGATTAACAAAATCAGCTCATTTTTTGGTAGTAAAAACTACTTATTCCACAAAGGAATATGCTCGTTTGTATGTTGATGAGATCATATGTTTGCATGGGGCTCCAGTTTCTATTGTTTGTGATAGGGATCCGAAGTTCACTTCTAGATTTTGGTGTAGTTTGCAAGAAGCCAAGAAAACTTCTTTGAAGTTCAGTACAGCTTTTGACCCGTAGACGGATGGGCAGTCAGAACGAACTATTCAGATTTTGGAAGATATGTTGAGAGCTTGTGTGCTGGATTTCAAAGGTAGTTGGGATGACTATTTACCGTTGATTAAATTTGCTTATAACAATAGTTATCAGTCTACTATTGGGATGGCACCGTATGAAGCTTTGTATGGGAGAAAATGTAGAACTCCATTGTGTTGGGGTGAAGTGGGCGAAAGAAAGTTATTGGGTCCATAATTGATTGAACTTACAACAGAAAAAGTGAGGATAATTCAGCAGCGTATGAAGATAGCACAGGATAGACAGAAAAGTTATGTGGATATGCAAAAAAGAAGAGATTTGGAATTCAAAGTTGGTGATTTTGTCTTCCTTCGTATTTCTCCTTGGAAGGGTATTATGAGGTTTGGAAAAAAAGGTAAATTAAGTCCCAGGTATATTGGACCTTACAAAATTCTGGAACGGATATGAGCAGTGGTGTATCGATTGGAATTACCAGACGAATTATCAAGATTACATGACGTTTTCCATGTGTCTATGCTTCGGAAGTATATATCGGATCCATCTCATGTGTTAGTTACAGAACCGATAGAGTTGAAAGAAGATTTACTTATGTAGAGGAACCGGTACAGATTTTGGATCATCGAGAATAAGTGCTTCGAAATAAAACTATACCACTGGTAAAAGTTTTATGGCGGAGTCATACGGTTGAAGAAGCAACTTGGGAATGTGAGGAAGCTATGAGAATACAATACCCTCATTTATTCGGTATGTTTCATGCATTTTAATTTCGAGGACGAAATTTAGTTTTAGGAGGGTGGGATGTTACATCCCGAATTTTTATCTGATCTAATTTAATTCTTTATTCATTATTATGAGTTTATTAATATTTATTTCAGTTTAAATATTTATATTTAATTGAGTTGGGAAAACAAAAATAAGAAAGTTTATTGTTTATAAACAATTAATTTCAAGTATGAGAATTGTTCACACATGCACGGTACATGGTACCTGGAAGTATTTAGACATGCTTGTTATCTATTCATATGTATGGTATCAATTAAAGATTATTGAGGTAGTGGCAGATAAATATATCGATATATATATATATATATATATATATATATATATATATATATATATATATATATATTTATAGTAAATAAAAAGGGTATATATATTGACATACATATATGATGCATGAGTGTAATGGTGTTAACAATATATGCTGATGCCTTTTATATGTACTTAATATTTTATGTTTTCCAAGCTTTTCTTTGAAAGCTTTCAAGTTGGTGAGCTGGCTTTATACATTTCAAGTTTGGTGGATAACTATTGAAACTAATAGTTGACAGCACCATGTATATATATACATATCATGGGACTTATATAGATATATATTTATATAGGAGCTTTCTAGTAAGCTTTGGATGAATTATTTAAGGAATAAATTAAGAAAGAGGGCATGGGTAGGCTTGGACACATGTCACACACATAATAAAAGTTCCATATAGACATTATTTTACCTCTTTCGTTTTGGGGTTTCTCCAGACCAGTATGTTAAAAATTAAAGGTGTGTAGAAAAAGAAAAGAAACAGCGGGACTAGAGAAGCCGGACCAGAAAAAGAAATAAGGAAAGTGAAAGAGAGTGAGAAAAGAAGAGAGATAGAATCAGAAAGTGGGTGTTTTGTAGAAAATGAAGGAAAATTCTCTACAATCTTTGTTGGATTCAACCTAAGGTAAGGAAATTATATTTTATGTTTAATATTTCAACTTTCCATGGATAGTCTGATTTATGAATTTTTATATAACTCATGTAGATTGCCATTTATTTAATTTGATAAATTCAAGTTCTACATTATCTGAAAGAGAAAGAATTGTTAAGTAGTTTGACTTGTTGAGGCGATATATATATATATATATATATATATATATATATGGTGAGTAATCTAGAAAAAAAAAACGCAATAAATGGATAGAAATAGATTATTGAAGTCAAAGAG